AGATTGCTCAATAAAAAAAAATAGTGACAAAGGAGCAAATTTCCAAGAACTTCCAATTTTATTGAAAAAATCAAAATGATTCAATTTAAAATATAAGCTGCTTACAACAGTAGTGATGCGTTCTTTTTTTTATTTAGTTATATAGGTATCTTGTAAGGACATACTTGAAACACACTTGTAATTAACATTTTAAATTTTTAATTCAAATTAATTCCTGCTAAATTAATAACGTTACTAATCAAACAATGACTAATTTTCAATCTGTTGCAATATGCAATATGGAGATATTTAATCTATTATGTGGTGCATTGAATTAGTCATAAAATTAGCTTTTAAATGAAGAATCACACTTTACAATAGTTACAGTCTTTTATCAAGCTAGAGGGCGCTAAAATCAAAAGTAATATAAATCGAACAGTGTCCGAACGTTTTTTTTACCTTAATACGAAAAAAAAAAGCTGGTGGAAAGTTTTCGGTGGCCCAGTTTATATATTGTTCTCGAAGATTCTAGACCTCTTTCGACTAAAAATAGACACCTGCAAAAATTTTCTATACAAGTGCATCCACCATAATGTGTATTTTCGGTATTATTCATCGAAGGGTCCAGTACATTCCAGAATTATGATTTACCTCGGCTGGCGGTATACATGGGCAGGACATAGGGGGTTTCCGAAGTTGATTTATTTCATCGAATATTCTGTGTAACGGTAGAAATGTAGGCCGTAAGAGGCACACATAAGGCAGAACGGGGCTTAGGAGATTAGAGCATGACCGGACTAGTCGAAAATAGATCGCATGATAATACACTAACATACTGTTTAACCGTTAGTTAAATGCTTTTTTCTACTTCCGAATGCTGCTTTCAATTAAATTTAAAATTTATTCATAATAAATTGTCATCTAATACTTCTAAAATAGTCAAATTATACAGTGCCCTTTATTGGCTTGCAATCGTTTAGAATTTTTTGGAATGTCCTGTATATTAGATATATTTTTATATAATAGCTCTACATTCCTATTAGACTCATCTTTTTTAATTAAATCTGTGACCATCATTGATCACAGGCCATGAAAGACAACGCCATTGTGAGAGGACCCTGTATATAGTTCGTATGGATTTTTATTAACTGTTGACTTTAGCGTTAACCAATTTACTTAGAACTACACGATTTTGTTTTCCATAAATAGTTTTGAACGTGTAAACTTCACAATAGTGGTTTCCAATTTCCTACAAGGAAATTTTGCAGTGTTCTGCAGCACTCACAAATAAGAAACATCGATAGTTTCCAACAGTAATGGCCGCAATAACAGTTTTCCTACAACGGATTTTATGTGTTTCGCCGCAAAAGTGACATTTTCATAGTCTATAAATAAGACGTTCATCGCGATATAAATTCGAATATAAGACAGCTAAAGGAAAAACGATCGAACCACTTTCAAGTATTACTACAAAATTTTAGAAAAGCATTTTCTTGGATGTTCGGACTCATCATCATAATATTTAATCAGTTTGTTTTAGGTTAAAAAACGTTCAATGGACACTCGGGATCTCTTAAATTATAGGAGGACATGTTGGTAAATTATTATTAGCTTACTACAGAAAGCAAAACAAAAACTCAATATGCAAACATATTCAGTGGTGGGACAAGACCTAAATTTGATGTGGGCAAGATAAATTTTGCGAGGCCCTCTGGTGACGCAAGAGGACGTATTTTATTTAGATATAGAAAAAAATTTAACTGTAACATTTGTATTTATAAAAATGCAAATATCTTCACTTTAACTTACATTATTAAGTAATAACAGATAGTAAAGCAAACATAAATGTTTCTTTTAGTTTAGGGTGACCATATTTATTTCGTTTAACCCATTGCTGAACTTCAAAGAGGTGAAGACTTTTTTACCTCCCAAAGATAAATACAAAAACTGTGTTAGATCTCATCGATAAATACAATAATAGAGAAGTCATGTATTATGTTTTGGTCTTATATGTTACGTTTCAGTAAATTATGAATAATATTGCTGGACAATAATGGCGTTTTGCTGGACAAATTCGATGATTTGCTGTACGTTTTGCTGCACAAGATCAAATGCTGAACAGACTTTGAAAATGCTGTACGATACATCGAAATGCTGTACGATACATCGAAATGCTGTACGTATGGTCACTCTATTTTACTGATCCTAATAACTGTATCTGCTTTATTTGATAAAACTCCAAAGGCTGTAAGTCTTTGCTGACATATATACTTTTTAAATAATTTCTATTATTTTAATTTTGAAAAGCTTCTTTCAGCGGAGACTGTATGATATTAACACGCGATAATATATCATACCTTAAATGTAATATGATAAATTCGAAGCTGAGCATTTCGTTCAAAACCAAATCACATTCACTGAGTATCTGAGTCGTCCCAGCATTTATGTGAAAAAAGCAAATACATTTTCTAAATGAGACCAAAAAATTTTTTCCGCAGAAGAATTAGCTTCACATCTACCAACAGCAGATTTAAATTATGACACTCGCGGCTACGTTTTTTAATGGATCTAGCTAAATATTTTCATGAGGTAAAGAAAGCTGCATAAACCTTCGAGAAGCGAGGCCCTTAGAACCGCGAGGCCATAGGCGGTGGCCCACGTCGCCTACGCCTTACGCCGCTTCTGAACATATTCTAAATACTCTATTATTCTTAGGTTTACAGCACATAAATTGATTAAAATAACAGCATAACAAACATTATTGCAAATCGTTACAATGTTACAAAAATATTCTTCTCGTTTCTCTAGCCCTCTCGAGTGTTTTTGTTACTTGCCGTAAGGTGGCAGTATGAGGTTATGACTTGATATACAGGGTGGACCGGATTTAATTTGCGTATACAGAGATCTCGTAAACCGTAAGATATACATTGTCGGTTAAACGGGGAAAAAGTTTCGTATTTTGACGGATAATACAATGGTCCATAGAAGTTCCAGATTTTCTGACTGGTTCCGGAGATATTCGATAAAATCCGAAAAACCTCATTGTCGTTTTTTAAGTCGTGCGTTGTTATTATGAAAGATACAAAAAAAAGTATACTAAGTTTTTGTTATAAATCAAGTTCCCTATAATCTGCTATGTCAAAATTGTTATTACAACGTTTCGTATTTCCAGGGCCACCTTCAACTAATTTTTTTAAATACGGACCTGGATTTTTAACTGTAATATTTTATAGCTTTTGTATAGCTAAATACAACGATATGTTACACTTTACCATTTTACTACGTTTCGTCTATGAAAATATCATCAGCTATGTAGCTTCTGATGATACCGATTCTTACTTGATTAAAACAAGATAGCTAATTAAATAATAATTAAAAAACAAAAAATGCTTAAATGTGAAATTTTATAAATATTATTTGAAACATAATACAAGAATTATTTAATTACAAAATGGGTTACAAATAAAAAAAGAAATTTGAAATTATCGGACAAAACCAAACAGTATATAAATATGTAGAAAATCAACAAAACATCTAACACTAATTAGCACGCTTTTATATCCATAGACCATGAACCAAAAATTGTTAGATTAAAATCATCAAGTTACAAAGATAATTAACAAAAATCCCTAGAAGTCGCCAGAAAATCTAGCCTCTGCGCGGGGTTTGTTGGATTAGTAAAGTTAAGAAATCATTCGTTCGGTGCAACGCCTCCGCATTTAAGGGTCACTTATGATTTAAGGGTTACTTAACTATACCTTTCTTAAAAAATTGTCTTTGAAAACGGCCATACGTATTCCTTTTTAATTCGTTCTCTACTTTCTGTTCAGGGCCGCCGAGAGCCAGACCGGGCCCCAGGACAATTCTCCAGATCGGGCCCCGCGACACGACAATTTTAATAACAAAAGGTTTCCAAGCAAAAATTTTTCTTTCTCTACTTGAATTTCTCTAAAAAAAAAACTAAAAGGCCTTCAAGCAAACATTTGTCCTCCTCTACTTGAATTTCTCTAAAAAAAATAGGTCTTCAAGCAAAAATTTCTTCTCCTCTACTTGAATTTCTCAAAAAAAAGGTCTTCAACTAAGAACTTCCCTCCTCTTCTATCAAACTTCTGAAAGTAACAAACACCACCGCTACCGGGCCCCCATTTAAGTCCCCATTTGAATCTGGGCCCCGGGAATTAGTCCTGGCTGCCCCCCCCTCTAGTCGGCCCTGTTTCTGTTAATGTATTTTTCATACGTTTAACTATATGATGTCCGATCAATAGCATCCAAATCTGGCATCCCCCTCTACTCCCCATATCATTTAGAAGAGTAGGGGGAATCAAGTTGTTTTGTTCAGAAAGATATGTAAGAGCTCAGGCATTGACAACACTAATCATGAATTTTGTGGAAACAGTCTTAAACAACTAAGTCGTCGATTTCCGTTAAATTGATCTGGTTACTTTATATAGAAGTCACTCGCGCCCTGTGATCTTCTTTCAGGTAGACAACACATTACACGAGATCAAATGATCCTCTTCAATTGTTGGACATGATACTGATTGTCCTGAAGCGGAACTTTTCTGCTTTCTTCTTTTCTGTATTGTGTACATGGAGCGTTCACTATGTTGCGTAATACTTTGTTCTAAAAGGTTTGAATATGCTTAATATTTATATCTCTGGCACATCGCCATAATTGAATGCAGTAACGCCAAACCTTAAGACTTGGTGGATGTAGATTAATATTTTTATTTTGTACTGATAGTTTTGAATTTAAACCGAGAAACTAGTAGTGGATTGAAAAATTGAAAAAAATTTGATTATTCTGTCACTGTTTAGTATTTAAATTTAATATGCTAATTAACAACATCTAATGTCCTGATGGCCGAGTTGGTAAGGCAGCGTGTGTAAAACGCAGGTCTGAAGGGTTCAAATCTTATCTTGGGATATATTTTGTTCAATTTTTCAAATTGTCAAATTGTTATCACTTTAAGATTCAAAAATAATTTTCAATTTGTCACAAAGAATATTTTTGTTTTCAGGCGACAAGACACTCAGGCAAGGGGTTGCCATCGTGGCTCCTTTTCGACAAAAAAGGAGGTATATTTTGGGGTGTACCACTAAGTCAAGATGTTGGAGTACTCAAGTTGAGTATAAAACCAATTGGAGGTAAATCTAACCAAGAAGATATCACAATCAAAATTATAGAACCGACAGAAGAAGCCAGCGGAGCAGAAAAATGTCAACAAAATGAAGACAACACAGTTTTAACGTTGCTATTGGACAAAAACATAAAGGCTATTAAGCCAAAGCAAAGAATTATTGCTATTAACAATATTGCGAAGTTTTTCGGATTGCCGTATGTAAGTAGCGCATTTTTGATAACATATTTTTTAAACTATAAAAGGAATTATTGCTTAGTTCGACCTTATTTTCAGTTTATAAAAATAATGCACACCCTGTATTTTTATATTGCTTGACAACACCGCTTGCAAGATTTGTGTCTGGAGTTGGGAGCAGGTGATTGTTTAGCCAGGAGTAGGTCCCATTGTTCATTGTGTTCTGTTTTGTATCTTATCGTTAATATTAAAGTAAGTTAGCAAAGTCGAGTAGCTTTTTAATTTAATTCCCTTTAAAATAAATATAATACAGTCGACTTTAATCCCAAAAGGGACACATATGTTACCAACCATTGTTGTTCCAATTAAAACCGATTATGATTTTTTTTTCCTAAGCTCAAACAGTACTTACTTATCTGAATTAGGATGTGATTCAATATCATACTGATATTCTACGTCTAATTATATCCCTACCCGTTTGTACTCTACCAGGTAAATAACCTTAATGTATATTCAAGAATACTGGTATGTCTGATAGATAGGGCTTTTGCGTTTTCTTCGGGTTCCAGATATTGTGCCGTTTTCGTTCCCATTTAAAGGTCGGCAGTGATTTAATGAGTAGGAGTTTCGTCCTTCTCTACATAGGGAATCGTCAGAGATTTTATTGTTTCATAAAAAAGTTTTGTAAAGAGTCCTATTACGGAGTTTTAGCCGTTAAGTTTTTCTGTTATTTAGATGGATCGTATAAATATTTGCACTCTCTGAGTTCAGGAAATTTCAAACTGTGTATTCTTGATGACCAAGGAGAAATTTAGAGGAATAGAAGTACAAATTCTGTACAATGGATATAAAGAGAAAATAACTACTATATATTCCTTCGAATTCAAGAATAGCTACCCGGAGCTATGGTGTTCTCTATTTACCTCTACCTTTAAGATAAATTTGTGAATATGGTGTACCACATATGTGTTGGATTCTACTTAGAGGTTTTAGTCAGCTCCCTTCCTGGATAGAATGTCTGCTTTCTTGTTTCTCAACACTTTCTCATCCCGGCAATTTAAGAGTGATCCAGGGCTTTAAGAGACTGTGGATTTTACCTAATTCTAACCTTTGCTATGCTTTAAGGCCTGCCTGACTGTGATAATAAAAGAATCCCTTATAGAGTCATTTAAAATTATTATCTGAGCTGTTACCTTATTCTAGAAAACTATTGTCAGTAACCCCACCCCGTTCAGGGTTAGCAATTATTCCTAAGTTCGTAGTAAAATATCATTGAACCGTTTGTATACCATACCTATTCGTTTTATATTTTCCTATCTTTGCGGATTTTATCCCTTTCCGGTATTTTATTCTATTTTATTTGCTCACAAATAACCTGCAACAAGTACTCATTTTTTATTGTTAGTGGATACTTTGATGGTCTGTAATACCATGCCAAATATTTATTAATTTAGCATTTCTATATTTAGTATCATTCGATATACTCCTTTGATTCAATTCAATTATTTATTGCGATAATATTTTACAGAGTGCCTTTACGTTGAAACCTCAGATAGAAAAGGACGACATTACTGATAGTTCGGTAGTACTAGCCGGTCCCGGAAACTTACAATCAAGAACTTCCAAAGTGACATCTCTTTTGCAAGTTGCAGTAGGCTGTGATGGAAGATTGTGGCTTTCTACAGCCGCAATGGTTCACCAATTGAAGCAACAAGCAAGAGATGGTACTATTACTGAAGTATTACGCTTACCTTTGATCGGCTGGAGAGTAAAGACTGAAACTAAACCAATCGTGAGATCTAAAAGGGGTGCTACGTCTGTTATCGAAGATGATTTTGGTAAGGTTTCATATATAAAATATTTATCATTAAAAAACGAAAATCTACCTACAAAATACAATAAACCTCTTTTCTTTGAGCTATTTTACCTATAATTTCAACTAAATTATTATTGAAATGACATTCAAATTAAATTAATTATAAGAATATTTATTCTTTTTCCACATTTAACTAGTTTAAAAATAAGACAGAATTGTGAAATTAAGCATACTAAAAAAATAGCTTCTATTCTTTTCTTCCAATCATTGGCGGCCAGATAATTTGACTAAATAAAAAATATGTGTGTGTATGTGTTTCATTGGTTCTGGTTTCGCAAGCAACTTGAAGGGATATATACCTACATTGATTATACACTATTCGTTATTCAAATTAATTTTCGCGTGCTTGTCATTTGTCAGGATATTTGTTTAAAGAAATCCACCAGAGGTCGGTAGAAGGTGAGGTACCGCAAATGAAAACTGCGAACTGTCAGAAAAATTCAGTTAATTTTATCTTTATCAAGTAAAAAATACGTCTGTATCCAATTTTATTTAAAATTTATTTATTTCTACTAATCATACTCTATGTAACAAACGAAATGAAAAGTGAAAACAACGAGAAGAAAAAGACTACCACATACCGATAATAATAACAAACAATAACAAAGTGAGGACATTACTATTTTTCATCATTTTTATAGTGTAACTTTTGGGCGGGCTTTTTTATTTGTGACTTTTTTTAGACGTGTTATTATAATGAATTCGACAAAATTAAAACACTATCATATAAAAACAACTTACCTTTAAATGAACAAAAATCTTCTTCTACGAAATGCAAAGAACGCATTAGCATTAAGGTAGTAAGTTGTTTTCCGACATAATAGAAGATTTACTGTGGTGGTTGTAGATAAATAATATTTGACGACATTACTAATGACGATACAAATGTTAGTTGCCCAATTATGAATAAGTCTCAGTTAGTAATCTATTAGTCTAAGATCCGAAGTAAGGTCGACCTTCACCCATCTGTTTAATGGATAAAAGTTTCTTTTTATTAAATAAAATGTGTTTATAAATATATCTATCACAAATGGGTTGCCTAAGAAAATACGGTCCAGACTATTTATTTTCTTAAAGTAAAAAAAAAAACGACACCCTGTAAAATATTCCCCAGATGTTTCGACTATGCCCAAACTTTAATCAGCTCACCGTAGAATAAATTAAAGCTTAAGTTTAAAATTTAGTGTTTTTCTCTTTATCTGTTTTTGAGTTATCTTCAAAATTCGAAATTTGCACTTTTCCTCAAATATCTCGAATTAGGTCCATTTTAGGGAAATCATGTAGAGGGACAAAATAATAGAGAATGACATCATAAGCAACTTCTATCATGATTCCTATACTTTCCTTATCTGTACACAGAAAGGAAAGTAAAAAATGGCTGTAACCGTATTTTCCTAGGCTACCCATTTGCGGTATATTTAAAAACATATTTTATTTAATAAAAAAAACTTTTATCCATTAAACAGATGGGTGAAGGTCGACATTACTTACGGATCCCGGACTATATCACCTATTTTAATTTCAGATTCGTTTATATGATTTACCTTACAATTTTAAAATGTGAGGATTTTATAATATAAAATTGTGTTCATATGCGCGCTACTGGGAATACTTCGCGATGTTATGTGTGTCGAGAATATTAAGAGCTTTCAATTTGTGTAACAATAAGGCAGCACTCTACACAAACAAGAAAAAATGTGGAAAACCCTCCCATTTAAAAAGTACTAGATATGTATTATAACAAAAAGCAGTAAATTTTAGTAGACTTAATACAGAATAGCTCGTAAATGTTTTTTTTTTAATCTCTTATATAAAATATAAAAAAAACTTTTCCAAGGTTTACAAAAAAAAAAAAAAATTCCACTATTGTTATTATTGATACTGAAAATTTCACAAAAATCGGACTAAAAATAAAGGCTTTGAAGAAATTAGACATATTTTAGATGTTCTGTGTGCTCTAAACGATTTTCTGATTAGTGTTTGAGATATAGACTCCAAAAGTATAAATTATTTTTAGGTTAAATTAAAGAAATCGTTAGTTACCATCAAGTATTTAATCGTCGAAACAAGTAGATATCCCAATAAAGCAATAAAAAAATATAAAAACTAAACAAGCATGAACCAAAGTTTTATATTGGCAGATCACGTTATTAGGCATTCCAACGACCTGTCAAACAATAGCTACCAGTGGGAACGTCTGGTATATCTGAGGGGGTAGCGACATACTCTTGCATTTTGGACGCTGTTTTTATACGAAATAGTAGTCGCCAAGCCTGCCAATTTATGAAAAAATGTATATGCGGTTTTTTAAATAATGTTTTTATTGTGTTTGACAGAAAATATTTAAATGTAATCCATTATTTATGATTTTACGTATTGTAGACAGAATACATCGTATGTCACAACCCTTAGATAAACCAAATTTTCCCACTGGCAGTTTATTTGTTTGGAATGCCTAATTATTCCTGCGTTCTTCGTTTCCTCACTTTGGTGTCGTCCCAGAGGCACTTGGTGACTCGTCGGGTATCCAGCCACCTTACGGGAACCAGGGTTAGGATGTTACATGTTTGATTTTTATTGTAATATAGTCTCAATGTATGTTTTAGAAAGTATCACACATAATATATAAAGTATATTAATATTTAATATACCCATTTTTAAAATTATTAGGACATAAACTAGTCGACGACATAGGAAAATAAAAAGATTAACTAATTGGCTCAATAAAAAGTTGTTATAAAATTGATAAAAACAAAAAATATAATATTTCTTTTTCAAACTGAATATAATAAAATAAAAGACGGCCCTAAATGGCTTGTATAAGACGCCCCTGGCTACCTTATACCTTCATATCTACTTTTTGAAGGTATACTACTTTTTCGGACATTTCCGTTGGCATGTCTAAAAATTACTTTTCCTTAAAAATCCATCATTAATATTTTTACATATTTTAGAGAGTCTAATTATTTAACTGTTTTAATATGTACATGATTTTCACTAAGGTCCTTTTTATTAAATTTCTTTAAATAAAGATCGGATCTACATTCTACTTGCATCATATCGTAGTATATAACTGCTTACCGGACATTATCACCTAACAAGTCACATTAGTCTCATGGAATTGAGTAACTTTTCTCCTTTGCCATCTTCAGGTAGCGGAGATTATAACGATGAAGATGAATACTATGATGATTATGAAGATTCCTATGACGGAGAGGATCTTGGTGATATAGAAAAATCACCTCCGTCTGCAGCTGCCCCAGTTACACTACCCACTCCTAAAAAGACCACCACTACCTCTACTGCAGCTACTACAGTTTCAAGTGACAGTAGCACCCATCAACATAGACATCACCATGGAGAAATTAATCCCAGTATCCCTGTGAGTATTAAATAACGAATATAATTTTTAATATTTATTCTAATTGTTGTTTTTAAAACTATATATTTTCAATTCTTATACAAATATACTTATAGTAACTTTGTAGGTAATTTTTTAAAGTAACTCTTTTGGCTGGATGCTCAAGATTTCAAAAGAAAAAAATACTTAAGTTTTTAATGCCTAGGCAGTACTATCGTTTTACTGTAAGTGTTACTTACATGATCGAGAAATGTCACTACAAGTTGACATTTAATGTCAATCGAAGAAAAATATTTTTTTTTCTTTATTTCACTAAAGCAAAGAGATATTAGACTTCTGTTTGAATTATTATTTTTGAAACAAGCAAAAACTTTTATGAAGAATAATATTTTCTCTAAAAGTTTTTTTTTTCGGTCCATCTGGGAATATATCAAAAGTATACAAAGTAAATTTATAAGGTTTTTTATTCAAGATTGGGTTTTCATTAGCTTATTTTTTTAAATATATTGGATGTATCTTATAGTGGCACCCGATGTTTTTTTCAAATAACTTGACAACCAGGTGACGGATCGCCATGTTTGTTAATGTTTTAGAAACGTCAGTCCAGTACAATTTTAACAATAAACCACCTTACACCACAACAACGTGCTGAAATTGTAAAAAAATATTTTCCAAAAAAACTTGCGTGCAGTGTTCCTAAATTGATTGATATCGAAATACGGCGATTTCGACTGACCGGCTCATTCACCAGATTTTACCGCACCTGACTTTTTCCTGTGGGGATACCCGAAGGAAAAGATTTATGCCGATGAACCAGCCACTCTCCAATAACATAATTCCAACATACGCCGAGAAATCGCTGGCATTCAACGGAAAATGCCGAAAAACGGTGTTTGGTGTCCGGAGGTGGCCACTTGGCCGATGTCATCTTCAAAAAGTGACCAAATAAATTGTAATGGATCGAATTTCAATAAAAAAAACATTTATTACAAAAAATTCACTGTTTAACAAATTATTTAAAAAAAAATTTGGATACAAATTCAAGATACATATTTAACTTCGGCTTAATTGAGGCATGGCAAAAGTGGCCCAAGCCCAAAATATTTATTATGAAGAAAAAGCAAAAGAAAATTATCAAAATATTTGAATATTAATCACGTCATTATTAGAAGTGCTTTTAAGAGTATTTAAATTTATTTAAAGTCAGGTAAATGTTAGGATATTATGCATAGTGTTTTTTTGATAAATAAGATTTTGAATGTGGCTTGGGCCACTTTTACGTAGCCTTTTTTGTTTTTTCACTGTCTTTGGAATAAAAAGAGATTTTGAAGCGAAATAATTTATTTTGAGGTAAATTATAAGACAATTTAAAAAAAAACTTAACTGAAAGTCTTTTATTCATTTTCTTCTTCCCTGTTATCTTTAAAAACAGCCGGGTCTTCTTCCACACGTTCATTGTGAACCAGTTTTCGATAAAATTCTTGGTTTACTGGTGGAATATAGTCAAACAAAGATACAAAATCTTGGTATTTCCTTTCTTTTATGGGCCTGGGTCCCTCAAACAAAGGAAGAAGTTTTGCCATTTCTTGAAAAGTTTGTTGCCCCGTTTTTTTACATTAACTTTGTTAAATAAAACAACTTCGTTATTGAAATACTTATATTAGATAATTCCAGGTTTTTCTTTCTCATACCGCAGCGACTGTATACGTAACCACTCAACTTTTTCATCAGCTGCCGTTTTTTACGATTGGTTATTGCTTTTTCTAGTCCGTTTGTTGAGAAAAAGTCGCTCGATGTCATAACTACTACTCTGAATGGATTTTTTTCTTGGTTTCAAGAACCACTTGCACCCAATCATTGGAAACATAAATATTTTTGTAATGTTTTTTGTTTTATTTAATTAGACCAAAGTTCTGGTCGTTAGGAAGGTAAGAATGACCAGATGCTAAAAATTTGTGGTCAATAATGTCAACTTTGTAGTCGCTGTATAAGGTAATGTAAGTACAAAGGGCAGCCATTTTAAAATTTCTATTTGGACCACCGCACTGATCGCTGTACATTATTAACTTTTTTGTGGAAACAAAGTTCTTAATGTTTTCATTAAATCAAATAAAATTACTGTGATATCAGTGTCCGATTTTGCAGCTTCAGCATCGTGTCTCATGCCTTGCCTAGCAGCTTCAGCTTTCCTCTGATGCAGCTCTTGTTCCGCTTTAATTGCCTTACATTCCTGGCCATCTGCCATAGCTGCCTTAATTTTAATATCAAATGCATCACATTTTCGACAACTATCGGATAGTGGTGCGTGAAACTTTAAATTAAAATCGTTTTTAAATATTTGACGAAAAACAAACAGTGACACGGGTTGTTCAGTTTCATTCTTATACAAATTGTACATCTTGGCAAGGTCTAGTTCTGGAGAAAGATATCTGACATTTGGATTTTTTTTAAAGAATAATGGGACTCGTACGCCGGTAATTTATTAATAAAACCTTTTACAGCAGTGACTTTTTCCAGAGACGTTTTATTAACAGATGTTGATTTTCCACGTTTATCAGGCTGTGGTGTTCCAGTAGTGTTTTTCGATTTCAATACTCTAGTTATGCAGAGATCCGACACATCCAACGATTGCTTAAAAAAAGATTTGCAAACTTTTCTGTCTTCTCCTTTTTCATCTGGCAAAAGATAACACCTACTGTGTTCCTTTGGTTTTCTATTTTTCGTTGTATACGTAAGTTCTTTTTCCAAAAATATAAGAACTTTGCAAAGTATGAGATCCAAAAATATAAAAATTTTTAAACAGAGCCTCACGCCACTTCTGCGAAAAATGTTCATGACACTTCTTTGAACACGGGCAATCTTTGGCTTCAAAACTCTTAGAAGGAATCACCGTCCTCCTGGTGTTAACGTATTTTTCGCCAGCACTACGCTTTCTTTTTCTAATATTTCTCTTCCACTGTCCGTCATTTTTCTTTCTTTATGCTCCCTGACTAATAACTGGCTCGGTGGAAGTGCCTTCTATGTCTGCAATATAAACAAAAAATCAATAGAGACAAACATAATAAGGAACTAAGAAAAACAAACTAACCAGAGAGACTTCACTGCAGTTATCAGAAGGAACAAACTCAGAACCTGAGTCCTGAAAAGGCTCTTCCATATCTGTAACAAACAAATTTAAGTGCAAAAGTGGCCCAGACCCAGAACATTGAAACACACTATTTAACATAACCTCCAAATGCGTCTTTTTATGCAATAAAACTATTATTACTACTTTACAAGCAAAAACATCATAATTTACTTACCAAAGCCACTTTCGTCACTTCCGGGCATACTTCTTTTCATTTTTTACATACACTTTAATGTAACGGATAAAAGGTATGCTAGCACAATAACAACAAACACGCGGTTAAATATGCGTCACCAATCATTGCGTTCGGTCTGCCAAGTTCCTTTAACTCCTTTAACACTTTTACTCCAAACGACCCTTCTAGCGTTCGGTTTAGTCCGATTAGTGACAGTTTAACACGCTTAAATGTCATTTAAAAGCACCCTAAAAAACTCCGCTTTTGTCCCGCTCCAGCCCCTGACTATCCGAACTCGCCTACTGAATGCAAAAGCGGCCTACAATCTAGAAGTGGGTTGGGCTAGTCTTGCTTAAGCAAATAAGAACCAGATGTGCGTGCAAAAGTGAATTTATGTGCCATCTTGTGATGAATGGTCAAAATAGGCTTGGGCCGGTATTGCGTAAAGAAAATGTGATTTATTTGTGGGGCATTTTTGTTGTTAACTCAATTTCAAAAAAATGTAGATTGGGCCACTTTTGCTCTAAACGCCTCAATTCTAACTACCACGTTTAATCACCGATGCTAGATAGATACCAGAAGTTTATTCTCAGGCAGAAAGCATGAACTAATTATGGTTTGTGTAGCAATCACGGACGAATAATGCATGCCGATCATGTACATTTTTTAAAGACAGCTCTGAGGTGCCACTACAATCAAAGTGAACTGTACATTGTTGAAAAATTACCTTTGTAATCCTTTGCTGGTTAAAACGAATAGCATCCATGTTGCATAATGTTGTGGTTTGGCATTTTTATAGTATAATTAAAATCCACATGTTACTTTTTCACTGTGTTTTAATTTATATGATTAAAAAGTTCAATAATTAAAAACACCAGGAAATAAATTTACATAATTAGAACATTGATATTTTATATTAATAATTCAACTGCTCATAACTAGTCTTTATGTTGATTAATTAAATAAGAAACAAAAGAAAAATGACCGATTGCCTACCCCATATTGAAAGCGTTCGTAACGCTGTACAGCGAGTCGTGAGTCTAAAGACAATTGCGAGTACAATCTGTTGATTTGTCGACTTCGCTTGTATATTTAGGCTTGTTCTAAAACTCGGCAATCGTCGCGTGATCGTTCAAAATGTATCTTATTGGTCGAACCTATCACGTCATGCCTAACGTCATAATGTATAACGCTTGGGTTATTAATTAGTTCAAGAGCAGAGCTGGAATCTGATTCGAAGCATGTTGGATGTATTTCCAACAGTTTGAATGTCACTATGGGGATAGTGGTTAATATGTGTATTGTTCACATTTCATATAATAAAAATACTTGAAATAAAAAATCGGATCTCAGGAGAAGATTTATCTCAAAACAGTTTGAGGTTTTAAGGATTTTTTTTTAGAGAATATATAGTTTTTATAGTAGGTTTATGAATTATGTATTTGTTAGTTTTAATAATGTGCACATTTAAACTCTTTTTAAGATTTATTAATAAATATTGATTTGATACTATTTTTTTTTTTTTTTTTTTTTTCAGAATCTTCATCACCAAACCACTCATAAAAACTTTATAGTCGATGAAATTGCTCCTGTAACAATCCCACCTACGGTTTCTCAAGCACCTATTTCGACTACTTCTACCACTACCATTAAATCCGTAGCATCAAACTCGGGACGATCAAAATCTACGAAACCTGACGATATTCTCAACTACGAAGACAATTACGACTACGGAGAGTACGACGATGAAGACGACGATATAGAAGATCCCGTTGAAAGTGAAACTATTATCCCAGACCTAGCTAAGAAGAAGCAAACTTTCGTTCCTACTTTCGAAGATACCGAGAGCATCACGACTGAACAAAGCAATTCGAAAACGACTACCCGAATTGAAGCAGAGACTGAACCAATTCTTATCTCCAGTACAACGCGCAGTACTACTACGACTACTACTAGCACCACTCCGGTTAGTATTGAAACAACCCCAGAAGCCATTCCTACCACAGTATCTACTACAACAACTACAACAACCACAGAATCTCCGATAACACCGACGGTTGGTGTAGATATCGATTCAGAGGTAAAACTTTTAATTTTAGTTATTTGGAAAAATTTTGTTTGGTATTAATCATAAAGATTGAATAAGTTTATAAAAAATATTAACCGTTAGTGGAGACTGGAGACAGTCCAATGAAATTTATTCTTGATTTTTTCCACAATAATTTTATTTTATTGTAATAATTAGTATTTTACTAGTGGTTTTTTTGGGATTTAGGTGTTACTTTTGGTACCCAGTTTAGACCATCTTCTGAACTTATAATTGTTTATTTATTCTTAGAGATTTTCTCTCCACAGTGAAAACGGTTCTTAAAAGTGACGCCTCAGACACGAAAACACTCGGGCGCCAGTTTTGGTAAAGTGGTTTGCTCCAACCCTTTGATACGGGGTCAAAGTGTTTATGAAACGAATTTAAAAAGGCGACACTAACAGGTTTTAATTGCTAGTGCCGCAGTAGATAACTTCCGGGTGTTGTTAAAGAATAAGAATTGTAATAATATATTGCCAACGATATTAACAACAAATACAAATAATAAGTATTTTAAAAGTCCCCCTTGTTGAAACAGCAAAATAAAGAAAAACCAAAATATTCTATCGGTAAAATAACGACTTAATCAGACACGGTAAAAATAAAATAAATCACATAAATCTGAGAAAATAAATACGTCAATAAATAAGTACCAAATATAGCAGGAAAACTATCTTAATTAGAAACTGTCTGCCTTATCTTTACCCGTATAATACGCTGTTAAAATATCTATCTCTAAATTAGCCACTTAGCCATCCTCAACATTTTCGTATTTCCTTCTCTTGTTCATTTAATTTCTTCCAGTATAATATTTTTATTTCGATACTTCATCTGCTTGCAGATAACGGTTGCGCACCGCAACAATACTTAATATAAAAAACGACTTTAATTACGTTATTCAGCTTCATTGTACCTTTGGGAGGTCTTTATAATAGCTTTCCTGCTGTTATGGCCTTTCCAATTATTTAAATTTATGATCAACTCATTTTAACTTTAGGTAAATAAATTATTACAACTTTTTCTAATATCCTCAAATTCTAATAGACGATGTTGCAAAGAAAATTAAAGTTGTTTTTACAATAGTATACAGATCATCTCCAAAAGTTATATAGAAATGGGAAAGAAGTTTATCTTACATTTCACAAAAAATATTCTCGATAAGTTCTGCGTCATTTGGAAATCAATAATTATACATATAAATGGGGCACAGAGAAAATAAAAAATGTTTATTTTGCAGCCTGGTTACACAACTCAAACCGAAAAGTCTTCCTCGACAACTCCAGAACAAACACCTTATGAAGAAACAACTCGAGTAATATCTGCCACTTCTTCAATTTACTCGCTTCTTCCTACTAATACAAGTAGCGACACAACTACAACTGTCACTACCACTACCACTACAACAACTTTGACGTCATCTACAACTCCTGATACTCCAACGACTCCCGAAGACTCGACCACAACCATAAAGGAGCAACCTACTACCCAGAGGTTGACAACTATTAGAGAAGTCACAGAAATTGAATATCACGAAAACTTCGATCCATTCATCGAGAATAGACTTCAACAAATGTCTGTGATTTCCGGAAAAATATTTAGATTTGTGATACCTATAAATACATTCAAAGATTTCGAAAATGAATACGATCTGACATATCAATTATTAGATTCTAATAATAGGACTGTTAAGAATAACAGTTGGTTGCATTTTAATCCTGCAAGAAGAGAACTTTATGGGCTGTGAGTATTTTTTATATTCCTAGATTTATATAACTATATAATATATAATTTACAGGTAAATTAATATAATCAAAATCGATTATCTTTTACCACTATCTTGTAGATAGATCTCTTACTTTTTCTGTTTGACAAAACGTGAAATAAGCCATAATACTTAATTGCTATTTATAAAATTCCTTATTTTATGTAACGATTGAACGCAACATAAACGAGTTACGTTAAACGGCATTTCGTAACGTGTTACATACAATATATATTTTTTTAATTTTGACTATTAAGTTCTCGCACGAACGCCACTGGCGAAAGTAGAAATATTCGGACCCAAAAAATGCACATTTACCCCTTCAAAGCGTTTTGAAAATTTTGAGTCAATATCTTTAAAACTCTTTAAAATACTCCCTATTTCGAAAATGAAGCATATTCCAATCTACGTTTATAGGAACTTTTTTTAATAAAATAATTTCTTTAATCACCCCCTAAAATCTTTCCCACTATTTTTACAAACACCCTGTATATTCAAACAGACCATACCCGATACCCATAAAACCAAGAATAAAACGGCGTCCTTTTGGACTGTAATAAATAAGCCAGTTAATGAGTATTATGAAGACTAGATATAAGTAGGCGAATCGGCAATGATCAAATTTAAAATTTATGTCCTTTTTTTATAAAGTTAGCTAAATTGACTATAGTTGGCAGGTCAAACGTCACTGACGTTCATTTTCTATTTAAGTCAATGTAAAATGAAGTGATTTTTAAAAAATTGGTGAAAAGAATCAAAATAATATGAAAAAAAGTACCTGACTATTAAGTTGTTCTCGCACGAACGCCACTGGCGAAAGTAGAAATATTCGGACCCAAAATATGCACATTTATCCTTTCAAAGCGTTTTGAAAATTTGGAGTCAATATCTTTAAAACTCTTTAAAATAATCCGTATTTCGAAAATGAAGCATATTCCAACCTACGTTTATAGGACCTTTTTTAACAAAATAATTTTGTTAATCACCCCCTAAAATCTTTCCCACTTTTTTTACAAACACCCTGTATATTCAAACAGACCATACCCGATACCCATAAAACCAAGAATAAAACGGCGTCCTTCTGGACTGTAATAAATAAGCTAGTTAAGTTTTATGAGAAATGAGACGAATCGGCAATGATCAAATTTCTCTCCGCAATATTGCGCCAAGATGTAGGCAACACGTAATAAGGCATCAAAATGGCGGAGTTTTCTATCTCCTTTTAAAAGGCACTCAGAAAGCTGCGCAGTGCGACCATTCTCCGTATAGTAAGAGAAAATCAAAGTATGTGCCGCGCCCTATGTTGGGCGTGTCAGACCTCTCTCTTGCACCGTATAGTAATAAAAGTATGTGACATATGCGCATTTGCCTAATTTTGAACCTTTTTTGATACTTATTCAAGTACTTCGAGTGATATTTCGAGTACCTCGATAGGTACTTCGATAGGTACTTCGAATACTTCGAGTACTTCGTCAGATACTTCGAGTACTTCCAGTTCTTCGACAGGTATTCTGAATACTTCGAGTACTTCGATAGATGTTACACTCCTCGCCTTTTTTGCTTTCTCCTATGCGATTATCGATAGTCCAGTCGTATTATATAGGATTAAATCTTTAACAAAAAAGTACTTAGGTAATGATAGAGAGCTATAATAAATATATTATGTAGGTATAACAATTTAGCAAGTCAGTCTAAAAGTAAAAACAAATTACGAATGAATAATAACACTAATTATTTTATTACAGACCATTAGAAGAAGATATTTCCAAATGGGTGTTTTGGGTGAAAGCATTCGATAAAGACGGTGGATCAGTTCAGGAAAAATTAAACATTCAAGTTCAACAACACAAATTGGAACTTGTAGTTAATCACGAATTCAGCTTACTAATAAGAATCGAAAAACAACAAGAATTTCAACATTATGTCGATTGGTCGTTGAAAGTATTGAGGGCCCTCGGAAAGATTTACAATACCAATATGTCTGAAATAACTGTCCGAAGAATTAACTATACATCGGAACCAGTTGTTTTTACTTGGTCAAACGATTCAATTCCAACAAATTATTGTCCCAGAACTGAAATAATAGGACTTTTCCAGGTAATAAACAAAAACAAATTTAGTAAACTCATATTAGACTAATAAATTATTAATAAGGATATCAAGACGACTATTTTATTCATTTCACATCAACATAGTTACTAATACGATAGATAGTAAATCAAATTTAAGTATTATTTTTTATATTTATTGAACCGTTATGCAAATACAAAGTCATTATTCTACATAATAGCCTGATTTAGAAACACATTTTTCCCGCTAGATAGTTGTACCAGTCACTTCAATTACTGACAAACTCAAATTGCGGTACAAACAAATACTAATAGCAAGTATAGCTATCCTAGTGTAGTATAGAATAATACTTATTTTTAGCAGGCAGCTGAATAGAATCAGACAACTATCGATGAATTTTGACCAGAGATTCGTCCCCAAAAGTTTTCCCCCTAATATTGGTTAGCGATTCGAGCCAAAGCCCTCTGTCCTCCCTCTCTGCAATTTTATCAGTGTTTCGGACCAAAATCATCTAGCACTTTGTTTCCTACTCTGAATTACCTTTTTAAATCAATTAATACGTGCTTGTTCATATTTATTTGATTAGTTATATTTTTATTTATATTTTAATAAGTAAAAAAAAAAGAATACGAAAATATCAAGCATTCCAAACATAATATCGATTGTGGCAATGACTTAGAAAATAGAATGGTTTTGCCTGCATTCGTCTTTTGTTATTCATGACAAAGAGCGATTTGTGGGAATAATTTTCAAGCATAGTTATTCATCTCGTAAGTTTCTTTTACCAGGCAATGCACAGTTTAATTATTTCTATCAATACAGTGTAGGTTTTTCTAATGTAACAAGACTAAACTTATTTATCCCTTTTCTCCTTTATATGCAATAGATTTCTCTTTTGTTTTTCAGGTTTTAACTGCAAACGATAGAGGCGATCCTTCTAGAGAACTGAATACAGCGCTATCTCCAGAATTGAGAGTGAAAAAAGTATTCTACCGTGAGTTAGGAGTTTGCGAACAGCCAATCACTCCGGTAACACCACCAATGAACTTCTCTCCGATTCTGAGGAATCCTATCGATAAAATAAATGCAACAGTTGGGGAATTGTTAATCTTTAAAGTTAGAGATGTAAGTTCTATTTTAGTATCTTTTAGAGATGTTTACACCTCTTCAACTTATAATTACGGTTTAGCTAAGGTATATCTTGACTTAAAGAGTTCAAGGTTGAACAAACAAAACCTTTGCTAAGTTGGGGTACGTCTTGGCAGTTAGTCTAAAATTTTTGACTAATCACTGTCAACCTCATATGTTTAATTGTCATTTATTTTATAATTATTTTATGTTGGGTAATTGTAAATGATTTCGATTTATTTCCTGCTTTAACAGTTTAACTTCAAGATGCAATCAGTGTCATCGTCATATATAAATACTAAAACTAAGGCCAATATGAAAACAATCATGAGATAAAAATGCCGTGTTTTAGTTATTTAACCAGCAAAAAAAATCAGTGGTGCACCTTTTTATGATCAATAAAATTTGGTTAAAAAGGACAGCAATATAGAAAAAATGTATGTGGTTTTAGAGTTGACATACATGGTAATCTATTGAGTACCCGTGTCGCAGTGCATAAAATAAGCTCAGTAAGTTGCATTGCATTTTAAAAATACTGATATTTAAAAAGCAAATTCTAAAAATCAACAGCTATGTTGCTCGCCTAATTTAAATTGGGTATAATGCTACGGGGTGTTTTATTAACCCCGTCAGCGTAGCCACTAACTACCAGAAAGGGTTGGAGGAGAACACAGAAAAATAAGAACACTTACAAAAAAGCCAATTATATTTTCCACTATCAAAAATATAGACATAATAAAATAAGAACAATCTACTTACATTCTTTTGAGGGCACCCTTTGTTCACTTATTAGACACAACCTGACTTTTTACCTAATTTCACTTAACCCCCTAGGCCGACGCCCCAAGCCAGCATGACCCCGTATCCATTCTTTTCTCGCATTCCCCACGGTGTTTTTAATATTGACCAATTGTTTAGATAATAATAAATTGCTGATAATTAAAATATTTTGTTAGATGGATTTTATAATATACTGGGCGTCATTTAATTTATTTATTTATTTAGATATTTATTAATTATTTTATAACGTAACAATAATATAATAATATTTCTTTTTAATAAATCATTTTCAAGTTATTTGTACGTAGTTACATGTTTTTTTTAATTTTATTATTCAAGTTAACATAGACTTTGAATATCAACTCCTTTTTTCATGATTAACGTAGATATAGGCAACACATTATACACTACTTACGGCATCCTATAAGATGTTTCAAGGATAATTGACCCAGATAGCACAAATGCGTCTTATGGACGTTCTAAAAACGTCCTGCTTGGACATTAAGGACATCCTTAAAACGTCCATTTCACGGACGTGGACGTCTTATGGACGTCTTTGGAACGTCCATTGTTAATGATCAGAATTTCTTAAGAACGTCCAGTAGAACATTCCATGGACATTTTCAAAAGCTCAAATAGGGAATAACAGGAGGTTTAAGGAAATTAGTAAAAATAATGAATAATTCCAAAAATTTTATTTGGAAGCAAGTAACCTATGAATAATAAAATTATTAAAACTTTTTCGTCAAATTCATCCTATCTCTTCTCTACTTTGCTTTTTTCAACCATGCCTGATGGATTGACAGCAGTTGTTTTTTTTTTTCTTGATTTGGCCATATTTGTCTTCTCAGCTGAATCTGAAAATAATTTAATCGCTTATTCAAAATGAAAGGCTGATCAATATGAAAATCCAATCTGTTTGTTTTGCTAGACATTATGAATTCACTAACCTTTTTAGCTTTGTAGTATTCACTGAAAAACTCCTCTACTTTGCTCTTTTCAACCATACCTGGATTGACAGCTGTCAGTTTTTTTCTTGATTTGGCCATATTTGCTTTCTCAGCTGAACCTGAAAATAATTTAATCGCTTATTCAAAATGAAAGGCAGATCAATATGAAAATACAATCTGTTTATTTAAGTTTGCCCTGCTAGACATTATAAATCTACTAACCTTTTAGCTTTGTAGTATTCACTGGAAAACTCCTCTACTTTGCACTTTTCAACCATGCCTGGATTGACAGCAGTCAGGTTTTTTCTTGATTTGGCCATATTTGCCTTCTCAGCTAAATCTAAAAATAATTTAACTGCTTATTCAAAATAAAAGGCAGATCTTGGTAGGATTCCCTACTCGACCATTCACTGTTAGGTTCTGATTAACATTTCTTATTAAAAAAAAACCTGAGTACTCCTGAGCCCTGAGGATATTTCAGTGCTTGAATCTAATAGCGTCTTCGAATCTACTGCACGGCTTGCACTAAGTACATACGAAAGGTGGGAGATATGTCAATACCAGTTACTTTTCAATCTGAAATGTAACCGGTATCGATATATCGCTCATCTTTTATGTGCACTCCGCGCAGGCAGGGCAGTGGAATCGAAGACGCTATAAATAAATAAAAATAAAAAATAAAATGTCACTTGTCAACAATGTCCCTTTCTTGCAAATTACCTTCTTCGTTTTTGTCTATTTGGCCTTTATTAAATTGGATATTGGGATAATGCCATCTTTAATAATTATTTGTATTGTCTCATTATATATGTTTTTTATATAATATAACCAAATAATACAATGCGAATGTGAATCCATGGAAATATAGTAAAGCACGTAGAATTGACGTTCTGCGGATATATATTTCCTGAGGTCCCGAGGATTTACTAAACTGGACATACTTAAAACGTCCAGAATTGGTCCTGGATGTACAGACGATAAATGGACATGTAATGGACGTCCTTAGGACGTACTGTGCTATCTGGGGAAAGAGCTAGAGAATGTGTGTCTGCCGATTTACTTATATGTGATAAAAATATAAAACTAAAACATAATAATTTTTTTTAGGATACATTTTATGATCCAGAAGATGTAGATCCAAGGATGCTTAATATATCTTTACTCACCGGAGATAGACATAACATACCCGCTGATAACTGGTTACAATTTGATAACAAAAACCGGGAATTCTTTGGTATTCCCAGGAAATCTGGAAGAAGTGAATATCAACTTGTTTGCGTCGATAGCGGAGGGCTTCCGGCCACTGACAGTTTGGAAGTTGTTGTGTTTCCAGCCCAGAAGAAGGCGTATAATGTTGAATTCAGTATGAATATTACCGAAATACCGCATGAGATATTCATTAACAGCGCGTCATTGCAAAAGAAATTCGTCGAAAAATTAATGGTAAGTATCATTTTAAAATTAATAAATAATGTTAAGTGGAGGACCTTTTCTGAGGCCCAAAGTAGGCTCAGTTTCCGGGCCTCTTTTTTTTTGTTATCAAAAATACTGAAATAGTATATAATAGATACACACAAACAACAAGAAAATAGGGATTACATTTTAATTTTTATAAAACATGTTTCCGAGTCTTCTTTTTGCCGTTCTTGTTATAACGTCTTGAAAATATTTTCTCTTTCTATGGAAAAAAATCTGTAAATTTATTATTCTGTCTTAGTTCAGAGCTGTTGATGTCAATAAATTTTTAAATAATTGAAGGTTTCAAGGCACTGAAGATACACAAATTCTTAAAAATTACTGCGCTGTTATATGTAATAGCTACTTCTGCATTTTTATTAGAGGCAGTACCTATTTGTGGTCGAAATCTTTTTCTTCTTGCACCACTTGGCCTTATTAAATTGTTCGCCAAAACATTAGGTTGAGATTTCATCAGTTGCAGAGAATCTAACAATTTTCTGATACATATATAATTTGGTTTTGAAATTTCAAGCAAATTAAACAATGAACCCTTTATATATAATATGTGACTCATTTTCGTAGATTTTCTTTAATAAACACAAATATAATTCATAATTTGTTTTCGTAGTATCGATATCATATAAGGTTCTAAAACAGATATCTTTTCCCTCTTTTGATTCCTTTAACAGCCTTTAAGATAAATAGACTTTTGTGTATTTAACAGATCAAACTTGTCGTGTACCAACGATCTAAATACCATTTTAATGAAAGTCGGCGTATGTACGCCCAAACAAACTGCTCGCTTAGTTGCATACCATAGTGGACAATCGTTATATAAATGGTATACCGTGGGGGATGCCATCTTTTCGGAGGCGATGTAAATGCGTCGGTCGCGAGTCCATAAATGTTGGGCTCGTTAAAGATCTCTACCTCTGGTTGGAGCATCAGGGGATTCGGCAAAATTTCTGGTAATTAGGGGTAACGTGCTCACCAGCGTCGGTATTTAAACCTCGTAGTCAGAAATAGGCCGACGTTTAAAACGATTTAAATATGTCAAAAAAGCTTTGCCACGTTTCTATTGATCCTAAAATTTTGGCAAATCAATATCGGTGTTGTTTTCTTAATTAATTCAAACGCATGACTCGTATTTGAAGAACCTAGATTCTCTAATATTGCGTTTTTTTATCTACTTGCTTCCAATTTCGATTAAATAATTTTAAATTGTTTATAAGCATTTTCTATCGCCTTTATCCTAGTTCTATTTCGATAATAGTACCTTAATTATCTTTGTCTGCTACGAATATTTCAAATCATATCCGTTTTATTTTACTTATTTCCATTTCCGATTCTGTTATTTTGATAATTAGGTACGTGAAATTAGATTAAATAACGTGATTAAATTCTGTGACTATTTATAACAACGGGGAAATAATATACTGAAACATTTATATCGCTTAAGAAGGAAAATGTGTTCTATGCGACTTTTAGGGATTGTAAGCTGGTATGCTAGTATCTTCCGTGCCTGCACATAATCATCATTTACTTGATATCTATAGGACTTGAATCTCTATCCGGCTCGAAGGACCAAAAATGTTTAATCCGTAATGTCAGAGAATAGTGGACTCTATATTTAAAGATTTTCTTATAGTGTATTCAAAGTTCTCGTGAAATCTCAAAATTACTTTATTCATACGGTATTTGTCACAATTCATATTGACATGCAAATCTACAACTGCAATTTTTTGTAGTGGCGTGCATTTTAATATTTATCGATACAAATTTACTTATTTACTCAATCATTTTGCAATAATTTTTGGGTAAATCGTTCTACACAATCAATCATTTATATACAAATTTCATCATTTGAAATATCAATGTTTTCTTCCTATTCTTCTCGTGTTTTATTTTGAGTACCAAAGCTTATAACTTTCTTGACAAATTTATTACTTTTCTCAATAATAGTATATATGAATAATCAGTTTTATTAAACTCATTTAATATATTTTTTGCGTCTTTTTTTTTTTTGGAAAAATATTAAACATTTTTTTGCAATTTTTTTCCAAAGTAGTGTTTCAAAAATGTATGGTCGTTACTTATTGACTGTCTTTTAAGAGGTCACATATTTCTTTTATCATGTTCTAAAGACAATTTTTTTTAAATAGTGTTCTAAAAATGAAATTTCGTTGTTCATTGATTTACTTTCAAATGTACACATGTCTTATTGTAACATGTTCCAAAGTTCTGCACTCTCTGTCACGTTCATGGCACGGTCCATTGCCACGAAAATCCACAGAAAATGGTAGTTTTGGTTTGTCTTTACCTTCTCAAGGCACTTTTTTTAAGGTTCTCTCGACTATGAATCTAGACAATTGTGACACTCCCACAGTTTTTTGCACTCCGGAAACTTGTTTAGGAAGTAAGTCTGACGAATATTCGTTTGAAGGTATTTTTGAGCCTGTGACTTAATTTATTGACCGCCAGTGATTTTGTTAATAGAAAATAAAATATTAATAAAAAAAAATTGAACTAAGAAAATCCAATTTTATATTTAATTTGAAAAATGTTTTTCAGCATCTATTCAAGGAACAATCGCCAAGTAACTTCCACATTCTTCCATTCAAGAGGTCTTACGAATCAACCATTGTGACTTGGTTTAATAAATCATTGCCAATTAATCGATGTCCACATGAAGAAATTAGACGATTAGAAACTGTTCTGCACAACATGAATGATAGATCGATCTCTCAAAAGGTAATACAAAAGTTAAATGTTTTCTTATTGAAATGTATTCTACTCAATTCAAGAGTACTATGAAATATTATAAAATAATATTAATTTTGCTTAAACTGCAGCATTAGATGCTATATAATTTTTTTATAGTTTTGTATGTAATTTTTACTACATACAACAATTATTGTTTTTAACTTGTTTATCTTATTTATTTGTTTAAAATCAATAATATTTTAATCATAATCTGTAAACATGTCTTTAGATAATCATTTCTGGAATAACTTTAATTTGATTTAAAAACGTTTCTCCCTATATTATATAAGGGTTTAAAATAAACATTTTTTTGTAGGTTCACTCAGTAATGGAACCAGAATTTAGAGTGTCGACTATCAAAGTCCATTTAATTGGTAACTGTAAGTTAAGATTGAGTCCAGAATCTCGACCAGAAACTATTATCCCTATTGAGGAAACAACGCCTCAATCTAGTAGCGACGAATATCTCCTTACCTTTATCATACCTGCTGTGATTGTTTCAATTATGCTTTTCCTAGCTATTCTAGCAGCTGTCATTTTATATCGAAGAAAACGTATGGGAAAAATGAATGTCGAAGAGGATGGAAGACAGAGTTATGGAAATAAAGGTAATATAATCGCTTAACTGGAATATTGCATGTTCAAAACGTTGGTAAAATTTTGTAGTTTATAAAGATTGATTTTTTATTTATTTTTCCAAACGTAGTTATTTCTAGTTTTAATACATCCAAAGAATAAATCCAATAAAATTGTTATAAGATTATTTTAAATGAAACAAAAATTAGGAAACTTTATAATGGTTAACATTTTTAGATTTATTTTATATTAATTTCCTCAATTATGCATTTTCTCTTAACCAGGGTCGGCTAACTTCATTTTTGTTCTCTAAATTGATAAATTATTTTCAAGTTATAAAGTTTCCTTGATTCGTTTCTATTATTAGCAGTATCCAAGAGTTGTGACACTAGAGTATGAAGTACTTACCGTGCTAACATTTGGAATTCCAATTATATTCTCATTCATACTGTTATCTAAAATACTAGATGATTAATCCTACCGCCTTTGTCAACCTTAACTGTTTTCCTTGATTTTGGAAACTGCATCCCAAATACTTAAACGTGTATTTTTCTCTGCAATTCCATGACTACCGGAATTTAAGTCGCTCACTGATTTGCCAAGTAATTCTATATTATCCACAAAAATGTTCCTTTATCTACTCTGTGAGTTCATGTATGTATTATAAAATTAGTATACATTTATCGTCTCAGTAGCGCATTGTGTAGAACGGCCGTTATTCATTTACGGAACTTTTAATGGTTCAGCGACACTTGACTTTAGGTCCTAGATCAAACCATGTGAATTTTAAATTCATTTACATGGTTCGTTGTAGGATTTGATGGGTGCCGTATTAGCAGTAATTTAATTTCTTTTGATATGGCATCCAGATTACAAATCGCAGTACGTTACCGCTTCGATTATGGTGGTTGGGATTTCCAGGCTTTTCCTCACGAGTAAGCCAAATGGCACCATTAATCATCTGTAAGTCTCCCCGGAACGCCTCGGCAAATAATAATAATAATAATAATAATAGCTGTTCCTTCCTCGAATAAGCTCAGTCGGCTTCAGGGGTTAAAATTCACTAGTAATGAGATTAATTATAGGAAAGGGTATTATTAATATTACATACTTCTATGCGTTTTAGTTTCCAAACTATCTGATCACCCAATAGTCCTTTTCGAGGACCCCTAGCATTCAAAGCTTATAGTGTCACCTTTTGAGGATCATGCTATACTACTCATGAGTCTAATAAACTTTGAACAATTTTAATGACCCCAATTAACTACAGATGCAAATGCAATAACCTTTATTGAGCTTGGTGTATCTGTTAAACTTTGACAGATGTTTAGAGTCATCTGAAGTTCATAGAAAATATACATTCTTAAGCTCTGTCAAAGTTAATCAGGCTCATAAATTTTAATGTACCTTAGCAACATAGCAACCAGCTGCAACTCTATGGCACCTTAACTTTTTTTAAACTCGCATTTGGCACATTTTCCTTTTGGACACCAATGGATTAATCCGTTGTAAATGTTCTCTTGTGCCTTCAATGATTTTGTTCACCACTCTAGTTTCACGGTGTCCACATCACGTTCTTATTTCGGCATTTTTAATTCATTACTCACAGTACCGGGGAGAGGCACGAGAGAAACATGATTTACATTTTTGTTAATGTTTATATTTGAAGCAAAAACAGAACTGAAAATAGTTGAAAAATTAATTTATCAATAAAACAATTCTATTTACTATTTACGTAGAGATACGAGGCAGAGTCAAATGAAAACTTTAAAATAATGTATTGAAGAAAACATTTCGTTTTTAGATTGGCAAAATAGCTATTTATGTGTCAAGGGCGTAAAACAGGCGTTTATAGACCGCAACGTGTAAGTAAGAGCCCGATAATGCTAGGCGAAGGTTATTAACACGTAAGATCTAATTTCACAATTCATTTTGGAACAAATAAATGAAATAAAATATTGCACAACTCTTTTCTATTATTTAATTTAATAATCGTAGATAAAATTTAGTATTCTACTCGCGGGTAATAGCTATTACTCAGTCGGGTAATTACACTATTCCCCTGAGGCTCGTAGTGCAAACTTCATCCTCGTGAGTAATGGCTCGTTGAATACTATACTATTACTTTATCGCCCGGCGAGCGGTATAGTTCGCGGGCGGTAAAGTAGTCCGCTGGCGAAAAAGGGACACTTTACACCCGCTAGATGTATTTATAATCTGGGACTTTATCGCCCGGTCGGGAATAAATATTATTTTTGAGATTTAATATATCAAAGCTATAATTAGAAATGTCAATACAGCGTTAATATACAATTCCCCTAAAGAACTGTACTAGACAGAAGCATCGGGTGGTATATTACGAGGGTCGTTCAACAAGTCCTTAAAAAAATAGAAAAGCAAATTACTTTAGGTAGATTTTTTTATTTTGTACATAATCTTCTTTTCTCCATACTTTTACAAGCGTTTCTCCAACTTTTTTAAGCCATCTTAAAAGTAATATTTCGGAAGGTCCTCAGAACCGTTGTCCGTTAACTAATTTTTTTAAGTTTGAAAATAAAAAGTCACTCATGGTCAAATCCGGTAAATAAGGTGGATGTTGTAATAATTCCATGATTTCGGTCATCAAAACTGTACAAGTTTGCACCTTAGCATTTTTCTAAATAAACAAAAGTTTCTTGCTTCAATCGACAATAAAAATGAAATCATGTGATAGAAATAATTAATTGAGTCTGTCAGCTGTTTAGTGAGTAATGATGCTTAATGAAAACAAACATTTTCGATGCTACGAGCGCCATCTCTTAGATTTTCCAAGGACTTACTGATTTTCGTATTTTTTTGTACATTAAAAACTTGTAAATTCACATTTGTCGCATCAAGTGTGTGAAAAAAAAACCAATTCAAAAAAGGATAATTTCCGAAGCTAATATTCCTTGACATGGTCGTGCAAATCGTTTGGTAACCGTGAAACAATGTTTGCAGTTGAAGACTAAGAATAAAATTCAAAGAAGAAGAAAATTATTAAGTTTATCCATGATTAATTACGCTATAGTTTTAAATATGAGTAAGGTTCTGTACATCAAATTAAGCTAAATGCGCTAGTTCAGTGATGATGTAATTAAGGTTCCACTGACAATTAAAGTGACAGTAGATTTTTTGAGTGCGTTTTCATCATTTTGTTTACCTAAATTATATCATTTTTTTCACTTTTATAAATATATTCCTAAAATAACTAGATAGCATCAAATATACAATTGTTTAGTTACCAATTACATACCTTTAAACTATTTTTTATGACCTGTAAACAATATTTAGAAATAAACTAAAAACAGTAAAAACGTATATGTCAAATTTATTGATGTTTTTGTTAAAAGTTTGGTTACAATTAAATGTCAGTGGAACCAAAATGACATCACACTGAACTAGCGCATAGTCTCCATTCCTATAAAGTGGGAGATATTTGTGAAGAAAATAACTTTTGTGACGGTATGAAGAAGAAGGCTATGCCTTTCTGGTGAATACTGACTGAGGATGTACTTCGGGTACTGTATATCTAAAATCAAGGTAATAAGTTATCGCGTCATGCTTCTTTATTAAGAACCAATTGTATAGACATACAATACGCTACTTATTTTCGGAACAAAAATTATGCAAAACATATAAATAACGGTTTTATTTACTACGCAATTTATAATACAGGGTGCCCTCTTTGACGATTTAGTAACCATGGAAGTTTACTCGGGAAACCAGCGTGCTTTTTGCATACGCACCTATGATCGTTATGGTGCTTCAACAGTCACAGCTCAAGCGAACTTTCACTTAATTGGTCGTAAACAAACAGAATTGTCGCTAATGGACCAACGAAAATCTAAGACAGAAACATGAAAAACCAAACTACAATATTGTCCAAAAGTTATTGTGTCGATTGTCATGTCTTGTGAAGTCCTTTTTTTAAGATCGGCGACGGTGATCACTTACGGTAAACAGTAAACGGTATTGTGACATGTTAAGGAACTTTTGGGTTATACTACTGCAGGAGTTTGAATGTTTTATTGTAGAAACATGGTTCCAAGAAGATGGGGTCACTTGCCATACCTCAAACCAATCGCTTACGGTTGTCAATCAACTTTTCCCGGAAAAAGTGATCTCTTGTCGAATCACCATCAATTGGCCTCCAAGAAGCTCCGACCTTACACCCTTTGATTATTAATTATACCCTAAAGAAAAACCACGAACTCTACACTGCAATTGATGCACAACATCCGCACCGAAATGGCCACCAGAGAGATATGTAGACGCACGGCGGCTGATTTCCGTTATCAAAAGAGATAATTTTGGTTGGAGGATGACTTATTCTAATGGAGTTACTGTTACTTGTATCTCAAAATCAGAACTTTTGAAGAACTCTCTCAATCCTTCCATCTGAATTTAAATATTCCGGCTTTTTGTAAAGCCTGTATTTTTTTTTAATGAAGGCAACCATTCCAGATTTGAATGTAGTTTGAATAGTGACGGGTCGCTCGAAAAAGTCCTCAGACAAGTCCGGTGGACTAGTCTGAAAAGTTGACTTGTTCAGCACATTTTTCAAAAGTGGAAATGTGTATTGCGCATGCGCGAAATTAAATTTAATAATTTTGCTTACAAACAAAATATAGTTTAAAAAAGAAGAAACAACAAATGACTTCTTTATGTTTTAATGGCTTTTTCGAATTTTCGTTTCATATCTTAACGAAAAAATGTCCAATCAAAAGTTTTTAAGTCCTTTACATATGATTTATATAAAAATCGAAAATACAAACGCAAATAATGTTTGCAAAGTGTTTTTGAAAATGCATGGACGAAGAAACATTGAACTGTGTTTCTTCTATCACCAGGGGATATCAAACAGCAGTTTCTGGGAACAAAGTCAAAAGACACAAAGAAAAGCGAACGAAATATTATTTCCATCAGTGTTACTAGTGATAGGTATACGTTATAACTTTCTATCAAGGTATTTCAATGCCGACTACTTTTCACTATTTTTCCGGACATGTCCGTCGGACTAATACAAAAATTACTTTTCATGAAAAGTCCTATCACAAAGTTTCAGTCACTACCTTATTCTCCATACACCCCTGATCTCGCCCCAAGTGATTATCATATATTATACAGTATGTCCCCCTAGGTTGGAATCATATGGAAAACTTTTTTATTATTAATTTTAGGAAAACAAGTTATTCTTCATAAAAAGTTCTGCATTATCTAAAACCTAGAATACAGTCATCAAATATCAAATTTTTTCAGTGGTATACGAGGTTTGTCAAAAAATATGAGTTTTACTCAAGAGTAAAGTACCTTTATTCTTTATACGACTGATAAAATTTAATATTTGATGATTGTATTTTAGGTTTTAGACTATGCTCGACTTTTTATAAAGAACAACTTTTTTTCCTAAAATTAATAATAAAAAAGTTTTCCATATGATTCCAACCTAGGGGGACATACTGTATATTTAAAGAAGCAGTAAGTGGGGAAGAATTTCAGAAAAATAATGTATGCAAAATAATTTGCAAGGCTTTTAAGGTTTATATTTAACTCTGCCTGAATTTATTGATAATAACAATGTTTTTTGGTCTTATGGAACGTAGCTTTCAACAGTACTAGATATTGAATGGTCTGTTTTGTTTTTACTTTAAATACTAGATAGATTGTTTTGAACCAGAGGCGCATATAGGGAGGGTAAAGGGGTATTTATAAGTACTAAAATGTATTATCATCAAAAATAAAGAATATTTCTACTAACTCCCCAGACTTGAACTATATTACATCTACCCCCCGATCCATTTAAAAAATACAACTCAATAGCATTTCCGATAAAACCATTTGAAATTATATCTAGTAGGTTTTTCCTAAATTTGATCTAAATCGCTTCATAAATAGAAACCCTGGTCTCATTGTTACCAGGTATGAATAAAGCTTAGTAAGCTTTGTTGTATTTCTTTCCTCTATATTTTTAATATACCTAGTGTTTAATGGTAATTTTTTTGCTGTATTGTAAATCAGTAGTTAGTGCATGTAAATAACATGTATTGTTCTTTTGAATTTTAGTTTAAAAGAACTTATTTCTACCAGGTATCCCGGTCATCTTCCAAGAAGAATTAGAAGAAAAACCCGAACCTGGTACCAAAGCGCCAGTGATATTAAAAGACGAAAAACCACCTTTAGCACCGCCGGAATACAGTAAAAGCGGATCCGTCAAATTGACAGACGATTCAGAACCCTACCAACCGCCTCCACCCTTCACCCGTACGCAAGACAACGGAAGACAATCCCGACCAAAGCCTACTCCTACATATAGAAAACCACCACCTTATGTGCCCCCTTAACAATTACATTTCACTTTCTTTCAGCAATAATTTTTTTTCGTTAAACAGCCAACAGATAGGGTTGGTCGATGAAATTGTATTCGAATAAACTTTTGTTTGACCCGGCAATTGTCAGATTTTAAGTTTAATTTTGGGTCGCCATTTTGATGCCAAATTTTCACACCCACAGGATCCTTTTTTATATGTATCGTATAGATTTTCTACTGGAATAAACTAGTATTTGATGTCTTAGTTGCACAAAGAAGTAATTAGAAATTTATGAACACCTACATCTAAAAATATCTCGGAATAGTAACTATACAAAAGTGTATATTTAAAATTAAACGAACCAAAATTTCTGCTCTTTATTGTAGAAGGTTCACTCTAGTTTTCTAACTGTTGATAGTATAATATCAATAAAGTATACAGGGTGTTTAATAAGTAACGTATTTTTTAATAACGACAAAGAATTCGATAAAACAAACAAATTTTTCTAGTAACTTCTTTTCACACACTCTTTTACATTTTAAGTACGGATCTGTTTCGTTTGGAAATGTTCATAATGCTAAAACCGCACGTTTTATTAAATGAGTCATCGATAGAAATATCAATCAATTAAGTAATTTATTGTTATAGAGTGATTTCTCTATTTTGCAGGTATTTTAAATGTTATATTATTACTGTACGGAAAGTATTGTAGAAATTCTGCTTCATCTAGGATTTATTTTAAACATTTTTGTCTGACACATCATTGTACGCGTCGTGTATTTGTGAGATTCGTTTAAAAGGCACGAGACACTAAAGAATTAGAGAAAAACGTAGCGAATGTACAGGAAGGCCCGGAAATCGTAGAAATGGTCCCGTTGAAAAATAAATTTTTGATCTCGTTGAAAATGATTCAATGACAAGTACCCAACAAATTTATAGTTAGCCACACAACGGTATGGTGAACGGATGAAATGTTTAGAGGGAGACCCGAAAGAATTTTAAAAGTGAGTATAATTTCGAGCAGTTTCTCTGAAGGAAACAGAAACGTACTTCAAATTTTAAAGATGAAAAAAGCAAAGGAAATTTTATTCCTCACATTTTAGTACGTCAAATTTGGTTTATCTTTCTCCAAATACGAACATACCTATTAAAAATAAATACCAACTTTTGAAAAACCCTGTATAAAAAATAGCACCAAATTACAGTGTGCAAAAGCAATTGTGTTAAAAATTTCAATTGTTAAATTTAAGATACAGTTGCTTATTTTTTGCGAGTTAAATAGTAGTCACACGAAGATATTTAAAGGTGAAGACTAACTCAAGTTTTCTAATCATATTTCTGATTATTTGGATGAGAATTTTTCCGAGATACAATTTATATTTTGATTACATTTTTTGACTCATAATATAATATGAAAATACAGGGAGTCCTTGAAAACAATGCATATTTTTCATGTACGGACAAAAAGTGTTAATATTTTTAAATAATTTAAACTTTGTCAATTATATCTACCTTTGGAAATGCAACGAAAGTTTGTAAGAGCAAGTTACAAGGTCAACATAAAACATGATTTTGAAACATTTAATACTCGAATGATGTGTGAAGCACACAAGACATGAAAAATAATAATACTATCTTTTGTCTCTTTATTATTTCAGACTTTGCAACTAAGTAATTTATGTGTTTAAAAAATCTGATCAATTAGGTTTGAAATGTGAGCGTGGGTATAGCTGTCATAGCACCTTTAATAATAGACCTGGAACGAGAGTATCATTATCATTTTCATTACTTCATTTCGTAAGAGCTGGCTTTTTACTTTGTCTCATTTTTAAGCATCGACATATATTACCATTCTTCTAATATTAAATGGAAAACAAAATGTTCCAAGTCACTGAATAAAAGCTGTTATTGTTTTTTAAACCAGCGTGTTTTACTTTTAATTTAAGTTATTCCAGCCGCATACATTTTATTATTGGTTTTCAAAGTAGGTTATACCATCTTTTTTCCTTTGAAATTCCGTTTATTACCCATTCCACACAAAAATATACAAAATACCATATTTTTTTCGACACTGTCTCTTCCACCTCTAAACTATCATAGCAAGATACGAATGATGATTGAGAATATACGATACAATCATTACAAGCGCATTGCACCCAGGATACTTATTCACTAACTAATGAGAGTGCTCGCTCCTACACGACTGCTCCATCTCCAGTGTTGCCAGATGACCAAAGTCAAATTGTTGTAGAACGCTGCAGAATTTTTTTTTATGATTTTATTGTACAAAACTGACCTTATTAACGTGACGTTATCGGAGGCTGGTTAATTTAAGAGTTTATGGGGTTAGGGTAATTTATTGAATAAACATAAAAAAAAACATTAAAATATAACACTTAACCTATTCTTGTGCAGCTAAAGTTTCAAAAATAATCTTCTTCTTGTAATCTTTTCTTATTTTGATCTTTTATTTGTAGGTTTGAAATTTACACATTCATTTTCCAAAGGACCCCTCACTTTCCTTATGTAAAGTGGCGACCGGTCAAATTTTTTGAAACTTTGGTATATTATTATTGTACTTAACCTAGTAACCAAAACTGTCAATAGGCTCAACTCAATCTTATGACTAGTTTTCGATATACAGGGTGTTAAAGTTGAAAATTGCCTAGTTTTTCATAATTTTTATTTTCAAACTTTTAGGCGACTATCATAAAAAATTACATTTTGCGGATTTATTAACATCCCTAAAATGTCATTTTTTTAGACGCATTTACTTTACGGCCGCTTTTTATAAACACATGTTTATCATACTTATCGTTATTAATTCTGTACAAATTTTATTAATTAACGATGAATTCCTATTCGATCAATAAACATTTGAAACAATTCTTGCATTTAAGCCTCTTTTCAAAAACAAGAATGTTAAAAAATATTGTCTCCACTTGATGAGACACACGCCTAAAAAATGTGTGCGCCTCGTCCGCAAATTTTTGATTCAACCAAAAAAGATGAACTTTATGGACACAAATAGGTATTAGATGTCGGTTTGCCAGCTATAAGTTTTAATAAACAATTATTGAGAATTGGGTCACTTTAGGAGCATGTTGTTCCTTTAGGAATAAGTGATTTTCGAGGACTTCCTGTAGAAACGCAACACATTATTCGTTACATTTCTTTATGCATCATAGACTGTACATCAATCACAATAAAACTAGTCATTACATTCATCACTGCAATTTTAAATTTTAAGTAATTAAAAATAATGGTCAGAAGTAATTTATTGAATGTATTTTTTATTCTTTCTCTGTGATAATCACTGCTAATTTTATTTAGTCTTATTTTTATTCTTTCATCATAATTTTTAATGATAAAATACATTATATTTATAAATCTAAATATAAAGGTGGCAAAAGAGTCTGGAAATTGACAAGAAATATGTAAAAAATTGCAACTTAATTCATTACTAGTAATTTTTCCTCGAATTTTATAATAAATACTCATTATGTGCAGCTCTAAATACACAAAATGAGATAAACGACATTGCTTTTAGCCTTTTTTAATGTGTAAAGGTTTTAAATTCTGTCCTTCCATACATACTCATCGTTTTAAAATCGTTTGATTTTCTTGTGGGTGAGTTCATTATTTAAGGTAAACGCTAAAATTTTAAATGTACCTAACATCGCAAAAGCAGATATTTTACTGTACACAGCTTGAACTCGTTTATTTTCGCCAAATCTACAGTCATTCGGAGATTTATGGTATTTTTATTTACAAAAGTCTTTTGGCTGTCAATTCGGCTTTATAGTTTATAAGGAATTGATGAGTTTTGTTCATGGTATTTTCAATCAAAGTAATTATTGTAAATTGTCAAAGAAGTTTGCTTCGACCAGTTTTTATTGCATTTATATCACAAAAAATTTATTTCGTAGAATTCGATAATTTCTTTGATTGTAAATTAAATACAAGAACTACTGATAGAATGACACTTGTATTAGGAATTATGCTAAACGAAAGTGATCTTAATATATCCGAAGTGTAAATATAAATTATGACTCTCTGTACATAAATATAATTATGTAACTATTTATTTCTAGTAAAAATTAAATTTAAATTGGTTGAAATGGGACATATTTAGGTATGAAACTAGGTCTCTAGTTTGTATTTATTTTGATTAATCTTTAAGATATTATTTTCTTATCGACTATATTATTGTTTGTGAATATAAAATTAATTACTATTCAAAATTGTGTACTTATAGACAAGGTGACAAAGATAAAGTTGTATGCTTTTTTTAAGAAAACAGCTAGGCCATTTAAATCGATTAGATGAAAAAATAATTATATAAGTACTTACATATGGAAAACTTTTTTTTTTTTTTAATTTGGTATCATCGGCATCGACTGCTAAGGTCATTAGCCTCGTGTTCTGTGTGGGCTTTGTTACTGTTTCTCAGCGCCACTTTAGGAACAACACTGTTAATTAGAACCCAACAGTGAATGGTCGAGTGGGGAATCCTACCAAGGCATCAGAATTAATTTTAAATAATTACATTAAATAAACAAATCCTGGCGTACGGTGGGATTTGAACTTGGCACCCTTGGATCCACAGGTAGAGACTCTACCACTGAGCCACCTACCCCATGGGAAAACTTTTTTATTTTGTTTTATGAAACGTATTCTTCATAAAAAATTGTGCATGGTCTACAACTTCAAATACAATCATCAGATGATTGTAATTTTATGAGTAGTATATGGGGTTTGTCAAAAAAATCATTTTTTTTTTACATTTATTTTTGATAAGAATAATTTTTATTGCTAAAATTAATACCGTCTACATAATATTGAAAACTATTTTATTATTAATTTTAGGAAAAATAGTTGTTTTTTATGACTTAAAACCTAAAATTTAGTCATCTGATACAAAATTTCTTTGAGTCGTATACGAGGTTTGTCAAAAATAGAGATATTCTTGACTCTTGATCAAAATTTATATTTTTGACGCACCTCGTACACGGCTCAAAGAAATTGATATTTGATGATTGAATTTTAGGGTTTTAGACTATGCAGAACTTTTTATAAAGAATACACTTTTACGTTTGTCAATTTCAAAATGGTATTTTCGATGCAATATATATTATATTTTTTTAGTTTTTAAACAATCGAATATTTCAGCTTTTTCCACGCCGTCGTGGAAAGTTTTTCTAAGCGACTAGTTATCTAATACAATGACGGAACCCAGTTCAGAACGCGAAATAGTAAATTTCAAATATATTTTCATCTGTCTTCGTGATAATTCCCGATAGTTCGCGGTTTAAAAACATTGAGCCCACCTTCAACAAACCCGGTATCATGGTAAAAATAATAATTAATATACGATGTTATTTACCCGAAAGTGATTTCAATTAAGCAGAAATCCCTTTTAAGAAAGCATCTCTATGATTTTTAATTTTTAAATCTTGTCAAGCTTTTGTAACAGTGTACCTACCTTTGATTAACTCGTAATAAATGTTTTTCCTCATTGCGTTATCTACGAATTTCCTTTTCATATATTTTCTCTTTTTCTACTTTAACAAAAATGTTTTCACCATATCTACTATATAACCTGGAAAATGTTCGGGAAAACCATTGTATACTTTTATATTTAAGCTATATTCCGCTTTTGAAAAAATAACCCGTTTCGCAGAAGGGTTTTAATACAGCTGGTTCATTTTTAAAAAGTTCAGAAGAAAAACAAAATAAAAATACCGCGTTCTACCTGTTGCTGTACACAGCCAAGTTTAAGACAACAAATTGAAACAGACAGTTTAGCATTGATGTCAGATGTACATTGTTTTACGTACATCTCGGTGTTATTTGATTAAAAAAGTTTTCTTAAATATGATATTATAGTTTTAATACAATAATTATGTATTTTAAACATTTTATTTGCATAATTTTTATAAAGAAGGAAATTCCTCTTTCAATATATGGCAGCTCCTGAAGTTTTCTACTATTTTTAATTAAAGTAACGTTCTTTGTTTTCCAGAATTACTAAGTTAATCATTTTTGTAAATAATTTCTTCATTAAAGATAGAAACGTCAACTAAAATAAAAAATAGAGTTAGATGATATCGTGATTTTACAATCACTCTGTAAATCGTTATACTGTGATTAGTAAAATTGAAATAATATTCTTCAAAACATCAATTAAATATTCGTTAATATCTTTATGGAAAACATTTATGAAATCGATAGAAGATGAAAGTAATGAGGAAAAAAGTAAAATTAATACATCAGTGTGTAAAAAATAAATTCTTTTGTGAAATATTATTTTCGGCTATACAATCATCGTTGTTAGAAAGGGGGTACTTCAGGGGTGGTCCCATATAAATTTGGTCAAAAACGAATAATTGGGTCCATGAGAAAATTCTCAAACTCTTCATTTTTTATGTATGTGTAGCGATAATGCTTTACCACCTTGTCCGATTTATATGATTCTTTTTTTGTTAGTAAGGAGGTACCTCAGGGGTGGTCCCATATAAATTTGGTCAAAATCTAATAATTGGGTTCATGAGAAAAAACCTCACTAATTTCTATGATTCTTTTCTTGGTGACGTCATCCGCACGATTTTGAAGTCGGTTTTTTAAAATTACTTTTAATTCTTGTCTAAAATCTATTAATTTTTTCTTAATATAAAATATTTTGTCAAATAAAAAAAAGAAAGTTATGTACAATGTCTGTAAGTACGCTATTGAAGAACAAATAATTTTATTTTATGAAATTGAACATATCAAAAATTGTTTATCATTTACAATTATTCAATTAGACATATCATGCTTTTACTATCATCGCATCATGAAGTTTATTTACTCTCTACATAGATAATTAAATGTCAAATGGTGTGGAGTAAAAGTTTCACAGTTTGTCCATTTGACAATAATAATTTTAACATATCATTGAGCAACTCGGTTCCTTTAAAACAAATTACGTAACATTAAATAACAATGTGATCCCTACATAATCGAAATGATTTTCTAGAATTTAATGTGATATAAAATATATTGAAAAATGAACTTCAAATTATTGTATATAAAATTTTAAAACAGTTCGGATATTTGATGAGATCACTTTCAGTTTTTTTAATTTTATTTTGTGAAACAAGTAGTGCAGTTATTGAAATAAATAACATAGACTTAGAAGTAAATAAGGCTGTTTTTATTTGCAACTAAATGGGTTATTTCGTGATCATGGAGAAAGTACTTACAGGCACAACGTATATTAAGTGTTTTTATTTTTTATTTAATTATTCAACATGATCATGAAGTACCTGCATAAGAATATATGGCACACTCTGTATAGACAAATAACTTTATAAGTGACCTCTTGAAAGAATGTAACAAAGAAATTTTATTATGTATTAGTATTTATTACTTACCTATATTTTTTTTTTGTTTTATTTTATTTTTCCTGATGAAAATTAGTAAATTATTAATACTAATTTTTAATTTTAATGGCTCTTGGTAAATCTCAAATATTTTGTTTTTATTTTCCGAAAGGGAATTAAAAGTGAAAATAAATGATATCAATTTTTAAATTTATTTATTTTTAAC